TCAAATGAAAGAGACGTAATTGATACACTTGAAAGCTGCTTAATAAGCTCAATGCAATCTTCTCAAAATTAATCTAATGAATTTAAGACACATCCTTACCAAAAAAAAAAAAAAAATCTTTCAGATATCCTTCACGGTGAAGGAATACACGGATAACTTCAAAAAACGGTGATAGGCAAAGAAAGATCTGGAAGAAGGAATACACGGTGAATTCACGGATTACTTCAAAAAACGACATTTTCTTTTGAAGAAAAGATAGCAATTTACCTGAGGGATTGTTTGCCAACAGGATTTACGCAGGATTTGAGCAGGATTTAGCTGCCAAACGGGATTTGAGCGACCCGTAAATCTGATGGCGGAATAAATCCTCCGTTTTCCTTTTTTTTCCGTAAATCCTGATTTTGCTAAATCCTCTACTTCGACGGATTTACGGGATTTGGTCGGAGAAGCGCGTGAAAGAGAGAAAGTACCTCCGGAGCTGCTCGCCGGATCGAAGTCGAACAAGAACGAAGCTTCGCTTTTCTCCTCTCGATTGAAGCCGAACAGAACGAACGAAGCTAGGCGAAGAAGCCTCTCGATTGAAGCCGAACAGCACGACGAAATTTGGCGAAGAAGCCTCTCGATTGAAGCCAAACAGCGGGACGAAGCTTCGCTTTTCTCTTCTCTATTGAAGCCGAGCAGCGGGACGAAGCTTCGCTTTTCTTCCGATGAATTTATAACCCGCTCAATACGAGCGGGTTTCTAATTCCCGCAAAACAGACTCCTTAATACACTCCTAAAGCATCCGACGAAAACCTTTTGTTCCGCTCAAAATTAACCAAACATCCAAATTTAGTAAATACAGGTAATTGATTTGCTTTACACTCCTAATTCAGGCAACCAAACAGCCCCTAAGAGAACTTCATGCACTCACAAAGAGAACAAAGCATGGAAATTTTCATTCATTTAATCATTCCCAATACAATGACAAAAGCCCTTTATATAGGCTGACAAAAATATAAAATGCATAAAGACGAAAACGCCCTTGGGCTACAATAAGTACTACTTCCCTCATAGGGGTACAAAAGGAAAGCATGAAATAAACATCATGAAAAAAGAAACTAAAGCATCAAAAATAAAGGCTGTGAATCAAGGCCGTCGATCGGCGTCCCCGGCGATGGTACACATGTCGAAATCTGATGCCCTCATCATTAAGATGAAGAAAAACCTTATTTCATCTTCCAAGTTCTAGTCTAGGAGACTATAAATCTAAAGATACAGTCAAAGGGATCTTGAATTTGTTGATGTAAGTTTACCAATAATTGACCAACTTTATTTTTTATTAGATCATAAACACTATTAAGCTAAACTGTATTAGGGCATGAACTTGCAACGTGTAGACTTCATCTTCTACATCTAAACAGTCTTGACAAAAGTAAGGAACCAACAGTTAAGAAGCATAACTACTTCCAAATATTATACAATGGACTAAAGCTATATTTAACAAGACTCCGTTGGAATGTAAAAAATTCATAAGTTTCCAAATAGTCATCTCTATAAAATTATAATGCAACTACCTAACAAAAAGTCATATAGAAACTTAATAAAGTAACTAACTATTTCCCTCTGAAAACAACGTTGTTCAACACTTCAGCCTAAACAAATGCAGACTTGTGTAATGCCTTACACTTTCAGAACGCTGTTATAACCAATCTCATTTTATTTTTCCACATTTATAGCATCAAACATTCAATGAAGTGCCATACTTAACAACATATGCATCACCTTCTATGCCCCTTAAGGATGCTACAAATTCAAACATTTGTCAAAGTTAAGGTTTACTTCCAAAGAACATATAAGAATAATTCTTTAACATATTATTTAGGATCTAAGTTAACATGGGATCAAATGCTTGGGAGGAAAATAATTTGTTTTTTTATCCCCTTTATTTCATCTTTGAAAAAGAAAAAAAAATGTTGCTCGCAGAGGAAGGGGATGCTAGAAGAAAGCTTCAAGTAACATTTCAAAAAAGTGAATATAGTCGTTCAAACATACTAATCAAATGATAGCATACCACATTCCGATAAATTTTGGGAAAATTCTAATCTTCCCCTATGAGTATGATAGCATATGGGACAAGGCTACTAGTTTGTTTGTTTGTTTGTTTGTTTGTTTGTTTTTAGGGCACAGTTACTAGTTGTTTTTACCATGTGGGATAAAATAAAATATGTTCAACGTTCACCTTTTTCATCCTCAAAAAGAAGTATATGAGCAATCAAAACAAAGGTGACAACTTCATGTGTTTATATGGCTGATTTCTAGGAATTCTAATTTGAAACTCTCCTATGCTACCAGGATTGGCGTGATTTGAAACAGGCGTCAACATTGTTTTAATGTGGCCCAGCAAAACCCACTTGGAGGATTTGAAAAATTAAAATACATAGAAATGAAAAGATATGCAAAGAACTTGGAACATTAAGAAGGTTGCCACACAGAAAGAGCAGAAAATTGGCTGATTTCAAATATTCAGCTGCATAGATTTCAGATTCAATTTCTGATTTCAGTGAAACTGTAGAAGCAAATTAGCGTAAACCACAAAAATTTAGGGCACTTTTATGAAGAGCTTGAGTAAATGATTGAGTTTTATTGGAGAGGGAGGTATGGGTTGAATGGATTGTGGGTGTTTGAGAGGAAATAACAGAGTGGTCAGTTAGGAGAGGAGATAGGAGAGAGAGAGAGAGAGTCATGGGACAAAGACCTGAAAAAGGGGGGGAGAGAGAGAGAGAGAGATGGGACAAAAGGTTGACAAAAAATAGAACAAAGACAAGATGGAGAAAATGAGAGGCGGAGAGGCAACGAAGAGATCGTCAAAGAGAGACAGTAATACAAAATAGAATAAAGAAGAGGGAGAAAATTGTATAGGAGGGAGCAAAATTAATAAGAATTGTGGGAGAGACGATTCACCTCTAGAACAATGAATCAACTTGTATCTTGCATTTCTTTGCTTGAAATTAATAATTATAGCCCCTTGGTATTATTTCTGGATCTATTTGGACTAATTTTGTTGTTTTTTATGTTGTTGTGTGTTGTTTTGGTCATCAAATCCTATTACAGATCAACTAAAAGAGTGATGGTACTAAGAAGGTACTTAATCAAATTTTTTTTAAACAAAAAAAATTATAATAGCCACGGAACCTTTCAAATAGTTATAGCAGCCCAAAACAGTCCCTAAATGTGATCAATTGTGAGACATTGGTGTGGGTAAATTTTGACACTAATTTGTGGGACATTTGAAAGCTTGAAGTTATTAATTTCTCTTAATGAGCCAGCTTTGGAAACCATGTTTTTTCTATATAAAGGTGAAAGTGCAATTAAAGAGTGCATGGTGCTAATGCTAAATATGACCATAACATGGAATGCGTTAAATCCAATTAATTATGCATCATCAATATAAACATAGAGATTAGAGACATATTTTGAAATGGGCATTGGTGTTGCTCTTCAAGATTTTTGACATTTTATGGGCAAAGTTGATATCGGAAAAATATATGACAATTAAAAGTATTGATAAATGCTAATGTTGGTGTGTATCAGAAAGGTAACTTGTCATGATAAACACTTCTCTTTGTTATTAACATTATTTGTTTTTGTTTTTTTTTTTTAGCTTATATTGTGAATTATATGATATTATATACCATCGAGCAATGTTTTTAGTAGAAAAAACTAGTATTAGTTTGATGTAGGCAAAGGGGGGGTCAACTCAAACCCAAAATAAGTTGGATTTGACTTCCCTTAAGCTTACAAACTCAATGAAATTTGAGCTAGAATTTAGCTCATTTATGAGCTGGTCTTTAGTTCATTTATTGAACTAAGGGTTAGCTCATTATTAGCTAAGTTTTAGTTCATAGTTATCTTTTAATTAATATAATTTTATTATAGTTTGTTATGTCTTAATTTAAGTTGTCCCTTGGGATTCCAAAATCGCTTTTGGAATACCAAGGAAGTTTGTTCTCCCATGCCGTGTCTCCTTGGCTTCCACGGTTGGCTGTTGTTTTCCGTGCATGGCTCCTTGGTTCTCACGGTGGCTGCTGGTTTTCCGAACTGGGGGCCTTCCCGTGGCTTTTGGCACCTCGGTTCCGTGCGGCCTCTTGGGTTCCCATGGTTGTTTCCTCGGTTCCCTGGCTAGGCTGTTTTTCCGTGAAAAGCAAGGGGGCCTTTTCCATGGCTTCTGTTGTTTGGATTCCTATGGGAATTAAATGTTATGTCCGTTTGTATTCCCCCTTTCATACCTATAAATATGAGGGGTTATATAATGTTTTGAAGAGTGATATATGAATTTTTGAAAAGAAATCTGCGGATTTTCTTGGAGAAGCTTGCGAGCTTTGTCCACCTTCTTCTTCCACCTCCTTTGGAAATCTTGCGAGCTCTTTCCACCCTTCTTCTTGGCTTCTAACCTCTTTCGTCTCTCCGCAAGTGACCACCCCATCTGTATCATTCGTCTCTAAGTGAAGCAAGTTTAGGGTGTCTTACTATTAGATTCAAAGTCGTTTAATTTTAATCTGTATTGTAAGTTTTGTTTTATTAATTTCTAAGTCTGTTTTAGATTTGAAATGTAAGAGTTTGTTCGTTTTATTACGTAGGAGTCCCATTTCTTATTTTCGTTACCCTTTGTGGCCTGAGGTCCTCGGGTCCCCCCATCCCCCGGATTTTTGCCCACATCATAGTTTTTACCTAGTCATTTATATTAATAATTTATAAAATGGAATATTGTACCAAAGATGTCTCGGCTATTTAATGTTTCGACATATAATGTCAGCTTTTTTCAATTTATGGTGTGTCATCATGTTTGTGCTGTGTGTGTCACTTCATAGAAGTATTACGTCCAATATAAAAGAATATGGTACAATGGGCAAAAATGAATGAGATCCAATTGAACTTGGAAAATCAAGAAACGTTGGGTTTACTGAAACTAATAAGAAAATTAAAAATGGAAAATCAATAAGTTTAGAAAGAATACTAACCAGTTTTCGTACTTCAGCAGCACCATCTCGAGCAAGAATAAATAAACCTTGTAGGTACTGATCCATGGAGAGCAGCAAGGCCTTTATGATATTTTTGATAGCATACATTAAACGTGACATAGCATAAAAGATATTTAGCACAATACGGACCATAACTTTAGCCAGAAATTTTATAGTATTTTTTTACTTACCGTAGGCATTATTACAATAAACTGATTGATGGAGCCCAATGAGAGCTTTCTAAGAGTAGAATGTGGAGATTGGAAAAACTGCAATACAGATAGAAAAAGAAAAAGTTTCTGTCAAACACCAACACAGAAAAATATTTATCCCAGAAGAACATGAATCCTATATCATGTCCAGCATAATGCTACAACATAAGAAACTCCAGGCCAGTTGCAAATTAGAAACAACCCGTTGAAGAAAGCCAAATGGTATTTGTAACATTAATATTACACAAACCTCAAGCCAAACAAAAGTCAGACGAATTTTTTCATATGCATTTAGGAAAAGAAACAGCTTTGTGCATATGATGCAATAACTTTCAAGGCTTACAGCTAGAAACATTCCACAATCGAACCAAAGAAATAAAGATGCTTTTTTAAGTAATTTAGAGCCCAACATTTAAGGCTGGACTAACCTGCAATAACCTTGGCATGAAAATGTTGATAGGTCTTTCTGTTAATCCAGGAACATCGACATCAAGTTCTTCTGGCACATCCTCACAGACCTGTTTAGACACATGAAAGAATGGATGGTGTAATTTTACTTGAAGCACGACAATCATGAATCTAAAAAGACTAGAAGACACAATTTTGTTCTAGCAAGAACATAAATGCAAAAGAAGAGAATAAGGTCAGGTCATTCCAGTAGAGCATCAACTTGAAGATGCAATTGTGTACTAGCAAAAACATAATTATGCAAGTTCATATTGCAGTAAAAAATTTTGGTGCAACTGTACTTCAGGGTGTTACAGACGAAAAAGTGCAAAACAAGAAGACTTGCCAAACAGATAACTGAATGTTATTTTGGTTTCCATGCTTAGCAGGTACACAAACATACGGAATTGTCTAGATAGAATTTTCAGTAATTTAAACTTCCATGGTTGCATTTTACTGTTTGTCATTCACAAAATTCCTGCATATGTACAATTCCAAATTAATGTACCATTCCCCTAAAGAATCATTAAGACAATCCAAGATAGTTGGGACAAGGAATGATGGAGGTAGTGGTGGTAAATGTTGAATGAGTATGTTATATCCTTTTATCAAAATTGGTCTCGCATACATTAAATTTTGACACAAAAGCGTATATAATAGAATGAAGACAACAAGCTAATAGAGAAGGTGAGATGCATTAAGCCAGCCACAAATGGTTGAATGGTGGTGAACATAAATGAATATTGAATACACTTCTATTGCAGTTGGACCAGAATTTCTTGGCGTAGAATACAATATGAGTATAAAATAAAACGGCTGATGATAAAATGTGGCATGCAAAATAGCCCAGTTTCTTTTGGCTATTTACTAGCAAAAACACCAAGTCCTTTGATCAATAGAAAAAGCACCAACCTTGTAAATAGCATCCATAGCACCTTCCATGTGATATAAGTCATTACTATCCAAACAATGAACAAGAGCTTGCAACAACTCTGGCCAACCCAATAGTCGCCCAAACTGCACAATCACACTGATAACAGTTCCCGCTGTAGATCTGATTGTCTTATCTGCGGCCCCTAAACATGGGAGTAATTGTGACTTAATGTATTGCTGATGTGAAGGAGATGTGGATCTGAAACTGATTCTTAAATTATTTTTCAGAAGCAAGCCAGCAGCCTGTCGTATTTCCACTGATTTATCCTGTTATATTAGCAGATTACAAATTAAAGAATAATAATACAGCATAAAATCAGACAATATGACGCTATCGCAAAAGATGCTAGCAATGACTGACAAAGAAAAGAATTAAAAAAACATTAGCTACATTGATACATAAAACCAAAAAAAAATTGATATATCAAAATTAAAATTTTAAATGTTAAAGCTCTCAACCATTCATCTTAAGTAGGCTGAAATAGTTCCTTGTGAGCCATTAGTCTCCTTATAGTCCAACAACAACTCAAGTGCAAGCCCATTTTACCTAATAAACTAAGCACAAGTCTACAAACTAATTCCAACTTAAGAACTGGCACATCCAAATAATAGGTATTAAAAAGTTTCAGAACATCTAAAGAATGAAGCTCCATATAATAAACAACAGCATAAGGGACAATATAAGAACTATATGCATTATGTCAAATCTTTTTCATTTCTTTTTTTTTTTTCTTGGATTTCATTCTTAGTTGTCCGTCTGAAGTGTCAAAGGAATGGGAAAAAACAACAACATAAAGGACAACATAAGATCTAAATGTATCATGTCAAATCGTTCCTTTTTTTTCATTTCATTCTTCGTTGTGAGTCTGAAGTGTAAAAGGAATGGAAAAAAAACTACATTTAATTGTGTCTGCGTAAGTGTTTGTGCGTGCATGAGAGATGAAAGCAGAGCTAGAAAAATATGTTAAAGCCTTTCCAACCACACAAGTATAAGTCAGAACTCTTGGGTGATGATGATGATTCATGAAATCCACAGCTGAACCTACTGTAACAATCTTTAGCCCATGAAGAATATATTTACTAGGAGCATTATCGTTGGTTTATTCAAATATCAAATCCAGCCATCCAGTTATTATATTACCTCGGGCATCAAGCAAAATAAAGGTTTTCAGGTTGAGACACCAAATCAGTCACACATTTGAGATACTAAACTACATATTAACTTTCTAATGTCTGCTAAAATTCAGTCAAACTAAAACCATCCACGCATCATAACCAGGAATGGATGAGAAACTTTAACACTTGAATATTACGGCCCAAAGGCTTGAGCCCGACTTCAAGCCCTTATTCCCAATCATTCAAACTGAAAAAAAAAACAGTCAGATAGTATCAATTATGCCAACATCGACCCACTATCCTGAGCCAATTTTATCAAGTTAATCCTTTTAAGCTGCTAAGGTGTGAGTGCCAACCCCACAAACACTCAAACCGAAATAACACAAAACTCTCTTCGAAACAACAAAAATCCTCCCAGCAGAGAATCAACTGCACCGATAAAACAAGCTAGAACCGTAGCGAAAACATTGCAATTAGTAACACATCATCCAGATCAATAAGAAACCCAGCAAAAAAGGAAGAAGAAAATTAACAGGGAATTTTGGAGAGGAAGACCGCCGCTGACCTCCGCCCTTGCCAGGATGAAAGCGAGGTAGTTGTTGAAATCGGCAACCTGGCTATAGTGCTGAAGCTGCTGCCATATGAGGTGCTGATCGGAATTCGGGGAAATCTGCCGCTCCAGCAACCCACAGATCTCGCGAATTCCCTCCTCCTGTGGCTGCCACATCGACGCAGCGGCCGCCGCCATCGCCCGGCCGCCTCTCCGGAAGAATCAATAGAAGAGACCTGGAAGATAAAAAGAGATTTTCGGGTCCTGGTTTGGCCGGTAAGAGATTCGTATGGGTCGTGACGAAGACAGACCGAGATGAAAATAAGAAGAAGACGTCCACTCTTTTTCCAATAGAAACGAATGCCTGCCGTGCGACCGGGAAACGCACGAGTCGGCGGAGGGGCGAAAAGTGGAGAAGAAAAGGGACGCAGGGCAGAGGGGGCAAAAATGGAATCTCAAAGGGCAGAAATTGTTGTCGGATTTCCAATAGGCTTCTTGTGGCTGGATTGGTAGAAGAGCTTCCGAAATGAAGTACAGGTCGACAAGGGTTTTTCTTTAAGCCTTACATTTACTTTTGTGCAATTTATGTCAAATATTTTATCATCTATTTTATTAATATTAAAAAGATATTTGACAATATATCAAAATAGGTTATAATCTTCCATTTTTTTAGCTATATACTATAATAGAATTAGTATTTGATATTTCAATAAAATAAACTTTGCATAAAAAAACTATGATTTTTATTAATGCAATCATTAAAAATATGTGAATAATTCTATACAACAATGACTATTTGTGCAGGTACATCCTTGCAGGTATCTTACAGGTCACATTTGGGTCACGAGGAAGGAGATCCACTCTCCTAGGATAGTCCTTTATAGGGACTCGCGCAGGAGTTGGGAAGGAGTTGATCATTGAGCATGACGAACCACTTTCGACCGCATCCTCTAAGCAACCTCCCTCCTCAATGAAGGCGACTACATAAATTCTTCTCCCAATTGGGCAAGCCTTTATTCATCTTGGCCAAAAACAAGTCCTCTATACATAACACACAAAAAGTGAAGCTAAAAGGCACACATCTCATCCCAATACCTTCTTCAAATCATCTTTCTACTCACACCCTCTCACCTCAATGGGGCAACACTAGATCGACATCCTTCTCAATGTCGACTCAACCTCAAAAGATCCACATCTAGACATTACTAGCCTCTCTCATCTTAATGGGGCAACACCATATCAACATCCTTCTTAATATTAGCTCAACCTTAGAAGATTTGCATCCATGCATTACTCGCCCCTCTCACCTCAATGATGCAACTCCAGACAAACTTCCTACTCAACGTTGACTCTCACACAAGATCTCCACTCTAATCAGCACAATCAGTCGAGCACTATCATAAAATGATAATTCAACCCCTGTACTTCATACTAATTCTAGTGTAACTCTCCAAACCCTATAAATAGGGGGAGGAGTCATTCACAAAAGAGGGACAACAAAAAACATTAAGGATCTCAACAAAAGAGTCAAGATGCTATAAAACTAGAGTGAGAGATTCAAAGAAAGGGAGGGAGGGAGAGAGAGAGAGAGAGAGAGAGAGAGAGAGAGAGAGAGAGAGAGAAACTCTCCAAACCCTATAAATAGGGGGAGGAGTCATTCACAAAAGAGGGACAACAAAAAACATTAAGGATCTCAACAAAAGAGTCAAGATGCTATAAAACTAGAGTGAGAGATTCAAAGAAAGGGAGGGAGGGAGAGAGAGAGAGAGAGAGAGAGAGAGAGAGA